CGACGACTACTACTACTACTGCTGCACTTGCTATTACGCCGACAGCCAAGAACAGCCTCAGTGATAACACAACTAGAGCGGTGCAAGCAGTGCAGCGGGCAAACTCCTCAACGACCAAGCCATAAGCCCTAAAAGTCATGTAAGCCTGAATTACTAAACCTCCTAAACCCTAAACCCTAAACCCTAAACCCTAAACCCTAAACCCTAAACCCTAAACCCTAAACCCTAAACCCTAAACCTTCAACCGAATCTCCCAGACTGGTGAATCAGGAATCCCAAACTCGATGTATTCAGGGCTGCTGGGTCTTGGCCAAGAAGAGCAGGCGCTTGAAATCCAGGGCACAGACCATGGCGGCCTCCGAGCAAAACGTTTGTTAAAGGCTTTTGCCGGGTCTTTAGAGTGCCTGAGGTTTGTATGACGGTTTTTGGAGGTGTTGCAGGTTCTTTGAGATGGTTTGGGGTCTTTGCTTGTTGAACTTACAGTGATGTACAGGGTTCAAGATTTTAGGGAGAGGGATGTTGGGATGCCACGAACAATCAGCTACTCGAGGACACAGGTTTTCGAGCTGTCTGGTGTGCAGTGCCGAGGCCTGGAAAAAACGCCATAAGGACTCTTAGGGAAGGTAGGGGCGAGGGGGGTAGGGGGCCTTACTACCGGTAATAAGGAGCCCCTACTCAAACCCCCCTCCCCCCTACCCGGGACCCACGCGGCCGCAAGACTGGGCAACAAAACGGCGCCAAAACCTGGCTCTCCGAAAGCAAACTCGGACTGTGGCTGCTGTTGCTGCACCATACATACAGGCTCCTCAAGCACGGTTTGGGACTCGGACCATGCCGAGGCCATTCCCAGCAACATCCTTTGCCTCTAAACCCTGACACCGCTGACCCCTCACCCAGGACGTATGCAGGGAACGGCTCACAGGGTCACTGTATGGGGTTGAAACTCAGACTTTCACCATTAAGGTTGGGACTGTTGCGCCTCGGGGTTTTCTAGTCGAAGGTAATTATATGGTCTTGATGTTACACCCTCAGGAATATCTCAGTGACTTGACCCGGCCTGGTCCTGTTCACTGCAAGTGCAGAGGGTCATCACCTTCTCGATCAAGTAGCTGGTGTTCTTGTGCTGCGCGAACCTCGGGCTTCTGATAACGGCAAAGCCTGAACGGTCTAAGCTTTTGCTTGAGATAATCGAAGATCGAGCCTTGTGAAGAAAATGGAGGTTTGACGTTCGCCCGTCGTCTGAATTTAGGGCCTAGCAACAGCCCTAAGCCTAAGCAGAAGAAGCCAAACGCCCAAGAAGCCTCGTTTAGGGTTTAGGGTTTGGGGTTTAGGGTTTGGGGTTTTGGGTTTAGGGTTTGGGGATTAGGGCTTTGGGTTTGGGGTTTAGGGTTTGGGGTTTAGGGTTTGGGGTTTAGGGTTTAGGGCTTTGGGTTTGGGGTTTAGGGTTTGGGGATTGGGGCTTGGGGTTTAGGGTTTGGGGTTTAGGGTTTGGGGTTTTGGGTTTAGGGCTTTTGGTTTTGGGTTTAGAGTGTTGGGTTTAGGGGAAGGTAGCCCTGAACCCGAAACTCAACCCAGCGCTCTGATGCGTACTTCGCCATCCAGGCACCTCACAACATCCGCAACCAGAGTTTGAGCGATCACGTGCTTGTGTCGCTCCTGGCCATCAGGTCGTTTTGACAGGAACTACCCTTCTGCTAGTGGTTTCGTGATGGCGCGGCATCCTTACGGCTTGCTTGGCTTTTTCCGATTGCTGTTGGAGCAGAAGCAGAGCTCCAAAATTGAGCCCTCTCTTCTCGGGTTTGCGTGGATAGTCTCTAGATTCGGGTGTAACCCTCTGGATGCTCAAAAGAGTTGCGGGATGAAGTTCCGGGATTGCTTGAAAGTTCCAGGTGTGAGCATGAATATGCTGGGTTTCCGGTTGAGGGCTCGTATCTGGGGCTGTCAGGACAGCGCGTGGGATGGTACAAAAGTGGTTGGGTTCTGTAGGCTTCTGGATGTATGCATCAGCTTCACTATTACCATTGCCATGATCATCCTCATTTCTCGTCACGATCATGTTCATCACCGTCGTTATCCAAACTGTCAGCACTCTCTCTGGGCCTCGCCGTGCTCCAAAATGGACTGGATGACATGGTGCGCGAAGGAGTGGCAGCACCTGGCTTGTCTGAACAGTGGGAGGTCAGGCTGCAGAGGTTCTGCGGCTCTTACATACATCATACGTCTGTAAGAACTTGTAAGGCCATTCGCAAATTCGATGAGTGCCATGATCATGACATCTCGATGCTTCCAAGGCACAGATCCGAAACGTCTGCTAGCAGCTCGTCCACGAGGTGGCCCACCTCATGAGGATCCAGCCATGAACCAAAAAGCAGACGAGTTCCGGTGGCCATGAGGCAGCGGCGGTGGTTTGCAGTGGCAGCGGCAGTAGTAGACGTTTTGCCTTGAACCTCTAAACGGCCCGAAACCCTAAACCCTAAACGTCGCATCCACATCAAATCCTAAGCTCTGGACCCTCATCTTCCTGTAAGGAACCCTTAAAGGAACCCTGAACCCAAAGCCCTTAAAGGAACCCTAAACCCGAAGCCCTTAGAGGAACCCTAAACCCAAAGCCCTTAAAGGAACCCTTAAAGGCACCCTTAACCCAAAGCCGTTAAAGGAACCCTAAACCCAAAGCCCTTAAAGGAACCCTGAAAGGAACCCTATAAGCTCCAGCCTTGGGGTTGGTGCTGCAGAACTCCAGGAGGCGGCAGAAGATCCGGCACCTGGGTCTCTTGGGATTAGGGAATTAGAGAATTAGGGTCTAGGGGTTTAGGGTTTAGGAAGTTAGGGTCTAGGGCCTAGGGGTTTAGGGTTTA